TAGAAACATAACCCACGAAATGGGAGAAAATATTTGCAATCACTTATCTGGTAAGGGTATAGCCAGGATATATAAAGAATTCTTACAACTCAACAACAGAAAGACAAACAACCCAATTTAAAAATAGAAAAAGGGTTCCAGCCATGATGGAGGCGTAGGGAGATGTGCTTTACTACCTTGCACCACCAAAAGAAGAATAACAACCAATTTAAAAACAAAAAACAACCAGAACTCCAGAAAACTGAACTGTACAGAAGTCCAACAACCAAAAAGTTAAAGAAGAAGAAACATTCATCCAGACTGGTAGGAGGGACAGAGACAGGCAGGTAAGGTGGAAAGAACATGTGGCAAGGCAGCAGCTGGCAGACTTGGCAGTCCCACATTTGCATGCGGATAAACCAAGAGGAACAATTGGGGAATGAGACATACCATGCAACCCAGGGTTCCAACACAGGGAAAGAAATTCTCAAAACCTCTGGCTGTAAAATCCTGTAGGGGTTACAGCAGTGAGAGAAACTGCCAGTCTCACAGAAGAGTCCATTGTAGGGGGTCATAGGGTCCTAGAACATACACAAGCCCACACACCCAGGAATCAGCACCAGGGCAGCACCTGAAAGGGCACAATTTGATTGTGGGAAGTGGGGGAAGTAACTGAAAGCAAAGGCAAGAGCCGAGCAACTAGCATTGTTACCTCTCTGACCCATCCCCCACATACAGTGCCACAATGCAGCAAAGTGGGTTGCCCTACCCTGGCAAATACCTAAGCCTCTGCTCCTTAAAACATAACAGGTGCACTGAGACAAAGAAATATGGCCCAAATAAAAGAAGAAATCAAAACTCCAGAAAAAGAACTAAACAACGAGGAGGTACACAACCGATCAGATGGAGAGTTCAAAACACTGGTGATCAGGATGCTCACAGAAATGGTTGAGTTCAATAGTGAAATGAAAGCTATACAAAGTGAAGTAAAGGAAAATATACAGGGAGCCAAGAGTAAAGGGAAGGAAACCAGATTCAAATCAATGGTTTGGACCAGAAGGAAGAAATAAATATCCAACCAGAACAAAATAAAGAAACAAGAATTCAAAAAAATGAGGAGGCTTGGGAACCTCTGAGACAATTATAAACATTCCAACATCCAAATCACAGGGATTCCAGAAGGTAAAGCAGAAGAGCAAGAAATTGAAAACTTATTTGAAAAAATAATGAAGGAAAACTTCCCTATTCTAGCAAAGGAAATAGACATGAAGGTCCAGGAAGCTCAAGAGTCCCAAAAAAGTTGGACTCAAGAAGGAACACACCAACACAAGTCATAATTAAGTTATTCAAGATTAAAGATAAGGAGAGAATCTTAAAAGCAGTAAGAGAAAAGGAGATAGCTAACTACAAAGGAGTTCCCATAAGACTACCAGCTGATTTCTCAAAAGAAATCTCACAGGCAACAAGGGACTGGAAAAGGAGTATTCTAAGTCATGAAAGGCAAGGACCTACATCCAAGATTATTCTACCCTGCAAAGCTATCATTTAGAGTAGAAGGGCAGATAAAGTGTTTCCTAGATAAGATCAAATTCAAGGAGTTCATCATCACCAACCCTTATTATATGAAATGTTAAAGGGACTTATCTAAGAAAAAGAAGATCAAAACTATGAACAGTAAAATGACAACAGACAACTATCAACAACTGAACCTAAAAAAAAAACCAACAAAGCAAACAACTAGAAGAGGAACAGAATCACAGAAATGGAGATCACACAGACGGTTATCAGTGGAGAGGGGATAGGGGGAGAATGGGGAAAAAGGTACAGGGATTAAGAAGCATAAATGCTAGGTACAAAATAGACAGGTGGAGGTTAAGAACAGTATGGGAAATGGAGAAGCCAAAGAACTCATATGTACGACCCATGGACATGAACAGAGGGGGGCAGGGCAGGGTAGGGGGTGGGGAGCTGAAAGGAATGAGGATACCAGGCAGAAAGGGATAAACAGGAGAAAAATGGGAAAACTGTAATACCATAATCAATAAAATATACTTAAAAATAAAATAAAAATAGAGAAATGACTTGAATAGACATTTTTCTAAAGAGGATCTATAAATGGTCAACAACCACATGAAAAGATGATCAGTATCATGCACCATTAAATAAAAACCACAATGAGGTACCACTTCACACCACTAGATGGCCATAATAAAAAGATAGGAAACAAAAAATGTTGGCAAGAATGAGGAGAAATTATAACTCTCACATATTATTAGTAGAAATGAAAAATAATGCAACTACTGGAGAAAAGTGTGGCAGTTCCTCAGAAAGTTCAAGAAAGAATTACCAGATGACCCTGCATTTTCCTTCCTAGGTATATACTTCAAAGAACTGAAAACAGGTTATTCAAATAAGTATTTGCACATGAATGGTCACAGCAGCACTACTTCACATTGGCAAAAAGGCGGAAACAACCCAAATGTCTATCAATGGATAAACAAAATGTGGTATATACATATAATGGAACAATATTCAGCCATAAAAAATAATGAAGGACTGATACACACTCCAACATGGGTAAGCCTTAAAACATGCTAAGGGAAAGAAGCCCATCACAAAAGTCACATGACTTCATTCATCTCTAGAGGGAAATCTATAGACAGAAAGTGATTGCTTAAGAGTAGGCCAGGGATAGGGAGAGGGTGTGAGAGGAAACGGCAAGGGGCTTCTCAGGGAGACAAAAGGGGAGCTAATGAGACAGGGGATGGGGAAATAAATGCTTAGCAAACTAGGGAAAGTTGAAATCATGCAAAATGCTTGTGGCAAATTTCTTAAAAGTAAGTATCAAAAAAACATTTCTACATTAAAGATTTTAGAGTTTAGAAATTGAGCATCACAATTCGTAAGCAAAATACCGAAAAAAAAATTTTAAATCAATCTGTCGAGTGTTGTCATAAAATGCCAAAGAGGCCACTTAAGGGAGGACATAGGTAGTTCCAGAAACATTAGAAATTAAGGAAATAGAGACTTCCGCCAAGATGGAGGCATAGGTGGAGAAGCCGTGCTTTCTCCCACAACCAAGTTGAGAGACAACAAAATATTAGCAACAGAAAACACAGCCAGAACACAGAAAATTGAATGTTTCGGAAGTCTGATAACAACGAATTCTTCAGAATTCTTCAGCCTGACCGGTAAGAGGGGTGAAGCCAGCAGCTGGCGGAGCGGGGTTGCACAGAAAAACTTGGTCAGATGGACTCAGGCGCGCGGATCCCAGGCGTGGGATTCCAACAGGCGGGCAGACCCAGTGAGCCACCGGCGTATCCAGCGAGGGTGCAGGGCGGCGGGTTGACTGTAGTCGCGAATTCCTGCGCAGATAGACCGGCGAAGGAGTGGGCAGCAAGACTGGACCGAGCAGGCCCCAGCAGCAGGAGGCAGCAGAGGGGGCCACCATTTCCCTGCTCTGACCCCGCCCCCACATACAGCCTCACAACCTAGCGATTTGGTCGGCCCCACCCTGATGAACACCTAAGGCTCCGCTCCTCATACTTAATGGGTCAAACAGACCAAAAATAGCTCAGGAAGATCCAAAGCCCCAGAGCCCATAACTCTAAGCAACGAAGAAATAGCAAAACTTTCAGATGCACAGTTCAAAACACTGGTGATCAGAATGTTCACAGAACTGGTTGATTTTAGTCACAAATTAGAGGAACATATGAAGGCTAAACTAATTAAAATTAAGGGAAAAATGCACAGGAAACCAATAGTGATGAAAAGAAAACTGGGACTCAAATCAAGGGAATGAACCAGAAGGAACAAAATAATGGCCAAACAGGAAAACAGGAAGAAACAAGAATTCAAAAAAATGAGGAGGGACTTAGGAACCTCCAGGACATCTTTAAACGCTCCAACATCCAAATTATAGCGGTACCAGAAGGGGGAAAGGCACAGCCGCCAGTGGAAAACTTATTTGAACAAATAATAAAAAAGAATTGCCTCAATCTGGCAAAGGAAATAGACTTCCAGGAAATCCAGGAAGCTCAGAGAGTCCCAAAGAAGTTGGACCCAAGAAGGAAGACACCAAGGCACATCATCATTACATTAGCCAAGATTAAAATGAAGGAGAGAATCCTAGAAGCAGCAAAAGATAAGGAGACAGTCACCTAACAAAGGAGTTCCCATCAGACTGTCAGCTGATTTCTCAAAAGAGACCCTACGGACAAGAAGGGGCTGGAAAGAGGTATTCCAAGTCATGAAATCCAAAGACCTACAACCAAGATTACTCTATCCAGCAAAACTTTCATTTAGAATGGAAGGACAGATAAAGTGCTTCTCAGATAAGATCAAATTCAAGAAGTTCTTCATCACCAAGCCCTTATTATATGAAATGTTAAAAGGACTTATCTAAGAAAAAGAAGATAAAAAAGATGAACAGTGAAAGGACAGCAAACTCACAGTTACTAAGAACCACACCTAAAACAAAGCAAACTAAAAGGACAGCTAGATCAGGAGCAGAACCATAGAAATGAAGATCTCATGGAGGGTTAGCAACAGGGGAGTGGGAGGAGGAGAAGGGGAGAGAAGGTACAGAAAATAAGTAGCACAGATGGTAGGTAGAAAATAGATGGGGGGAGGGCAAGAATAGTATAGGAAATATAGAATCTAAAGGACTTGAGACACGTGGTCATAAACTAAAGGGGGGGAATGGTGGGGGTTGGGGGGTGCAGGGTGGAGAGGAATGAACTGGGGGAATAGAACAACTGTAATGGCATAATCAATAAAATAAAAATTAAAAAAAGAAAAAAAAAGAAATTAAGGAAATAACTTTTGCCTAAAGCAGTAAGAATTGCCTTCTTCCAGGAAAATATATTACCATAAAATTTATACCATTATAAAAAATGTTTTATGTGTATTTTACCATAATTAAAAAATTTATACCATTATATATTAGACATCTAAAGGGGTAGAGTGTTATTGACCCACAAACCTATTATGTGGCATTATGGAAACAGATGCTCATTTACCTCTCTGACTGAGAATTCCTTCAGGCCTGAATATTTCTGGAGTCTCAAAGGCAAAAATGCAATCGCTTTCATGGACTGTTTCCAGGTCGTCTGTGTCACAAAAGGAACGATGGAACCCATCATAGTACATTTCTGTTAACACAATCTAAAAATGGTAAAAATGTAAATAGTTGGATAAGCTGTAAGTCAATATGAATGACTCTCCTAATTCTTCATGAACTTCCCCAGAACATCAGGACCTGATCCTGTGAGGACTCTTAACAGATACCACAGGGCCTACATTATTTGCCTTTAACACAGAATCTTAGAAGCACAACATACATCATAATTGTAGAACATTACTCTATTCTGATAATGTTATGGCACTAAACCCAGAGTTCCTCTAAGTTCTGGGGAAAAAGAGAGCCAAGGGAAGATCACAGAGTTTATCCCCTTGATTCACAGGGGAACAAAGTAAAGAGAAGGTCAAGTGAGCTGCCTGAGGTTATACAACTAACTATTCAGGCTCATGGCAAGGAGAGAGTCCACAACTGACTCTGAGACTTTCTCCTAGATCATTAATTTTCTTCTTTCCAGGTTAAAAAATATCAAATAACCATCATTATTTGCATTAGAAAAAACTGCAATCAACTCAAATGTCCAACAATAGTCCAACAATAGAAGCTAGTTAAATATAATATAGCCCTACTGGAATTACAAACCTATAACAAAGAATGAACTACTAACAGTTGCACTAACATGGAACACTAACATGGAAAAATCTCCTAAGTAAAAAGAAGCACGGTAAAAAAACAAGTTCACTTTTATAAAATAGTAAATGAAATATATACACAGGAAAAAGAAAGAATGAATTTACTAAGAATGAATAGTACTAAGTTAGTTACCTCTAGTTCTAAAATATTTAATATGAGATACTTGCTAAGTTTTGTTCCTAAAATGGCTGAACATTGCACAGTAAAACATAAAAACAAAAGATGGGTTAAAAATAACAGAGACACTTAGCACCACTGTTTAGCAAAAAAAAAAAAAAGCACTAGATTGGGCATAAGGAGGCTCCAGTCCCAGCTTGCTACAAACCAGCCCTGTGACCTTGAAGAAGTCACATGGTTTCTCTGGGCCTCCTTCGAATGAGGGGTTTGGACTGGGCCCCTAAGGTTCCCTTTACTAAGACAAATATACTATGAGTCTATGAGGTGAAAGGAAGCTGGGTGGCATAGACCAGAAATACTCCAAGGAAAATATTCCTGGCACTCTTTCTACCTAATGATTTTAATACCCAACGTTGTTTTTCTGAAGGTGAGTATGCAGATATAATCCACTTTTTCCAGCAAGTTGAGGTCAAAACAAACTTGTAGTTATATCACTCATTTAAACTGCATGGGGAAAGAGGCAGACAGTACCAAAAGCTTTAAAGAGACAACCAGATTTGTCTTGGACACGTACCTAAGCCTCCCTTCCTCTCCGTCTTTGCCCTCATCTGAAGGAAAAAAGTGAATTAATGAGCTCTTAAGAATAAGGAAGAACATGTACATTTTATGAATGTGCCAGTATTGGGCCTATGAAAATGTACAACGTTTGCTTCTAAGGGCAACACTGCTGGTGTTATTTGTTTTACCGTGGTAACTTCCTAAATGAGGACATCTGCAGCCAAAGTACGTAACACCTTCACTATGTAAGTAGGACAGTTTCCAGAAGCAATCTAAGGAGAAAGTATTCAGCCACTAAATCATCTTTCCTTAGTAAATCATAAGTATGGAATGTCTTTCCAAATAAAATTGTAACAGTGAATGGAGTAAAAAAAAAATGTATGCAAAAATGTCAAGTCACACATAAGCCAAATGTATTTTAGGCCAATTTAAATATCAAAAATTTAGCCAAACAAGGAAGCAGGGGTGGACACACGACTTCCTTTCTCTTATCTAAACAAGGTAAGAGACAGATCCAGCTTTCACCAGAAAACAAACAGAACTGAGTATCTATGTGCAAAAACTAGCTAAATACCTGTGCTCATCACCATGATGGGAAGGTATTTCAAGAGCCACAGTTCAGGTTCTATAAGCTTCTTTGACTTTCAAATACCATAGGGATGCTCTTCCTACATAAATACTCCATAAGTATAACTAAAGGGGACTAAGTAATTATACTTTGCAAACAAAGCTAAAAGAAAAAAAGGAAACTTTTAAGGTAAACTCAAAGTTTTCCTTTTAAAAATGTACACACAATTCAATGAAACACAGAAACGTTTTGTTTACCTTATTCTCCCCTGGGTCTTAATATCCCTTTTCCTCAACACAGAAGCAACTGGTTTGACATTTCTATCTAACCATATCTGGCAGAGAACTGTTAAAAAATTCCAGGAGGAACAGAAGGCCACTTTTGTGGTTCCCAGCAAAATCGGCATTAGCAGACATATTACCTGATCAGTGGGGATCTTTGTTTCCATGGACACTGCTTCCCGAAGCCTGGCGACAGTCCCAGACAGAGGCACAGCTACGCCAATTCTCATGCAGTGAGAACACTTCCCTTGATATACTACAGTGACATAGAGAGGCCTATACAGACCAAAGTCAGATCTTCTCATTAGTTGCTTATTTCAACTTAAACATAGAAGCAAGACAAACCTGACTGGAAATCAATGTAAAACTGAAGCTAACCTACAACATTATTTGGAAGCCAAATAGAAAACCTCACTTGGACCTACGTAAAACTATCAAACATTAATCAAGAGACCTCTGGAAAAGCTTAGCTTCAAAAACCAAAAATATAACACATCTACTTTATATTTTCATTAAAACAGTAGTATAACTCCGGGAATTTTGAGAAAATGTTCAAATAACACAATTAATTAAAGTACAATGTGAGGACTCTAGAGAATCAAGAAGGCACTCAACACTTCTCCTCCCTGCCATGCCGTGGATTGATGACTGACTGAATATATATAACTGTCCAAGGTACCCTGCAAACTCAGACAGGCATTCATAAATTTCTGTAAGGTTTTAACAATGCCTGTATTCAATTTATCATTAATTTCATTATTTGTCTAAATAAGTTAAGAAGACCTATTAGAAGCCTACACAGAAAAAAGGAACACATAGGAATGTACCACCTTAATTTTATTAAATCTGTTCTTACCTTGTGTGGGGTAGAGGAATTGGCAAAGAAATGCAGAGGAAAGGGTCAAAAGTATTGCTCTGCTTCTGACAATGAGGACATGTCAAAGAAGATCTTAAAAAACAAAAATGTAAGAAATGCATATTAAGATCACCTACAACCATGTACCATGTAAACAGACAACATAAGGGGAAATTTAATTTGCTCATACCGGTACTGGGCTTGAAAAAGTTCCTGTACAAAAGTGCTACAGACAGGAAAAGATGGTCCCTCAGGTATCATATCAGTCTCTGACGGTGGCTTAAAAAAAGAAAACACAATATTACAGACTAGAAGTACCAACTGTTGATTAAAGATGACTCTGAAAGTGTCACAAAGGTCCTTGACTTATTATACAACCTATGCTTCAGGTCGAGATGTTTCAGTGAAAGGTATCTGCTAAAGGAACTAGAACACAGTGGCCAGGACGTGGGTCACAGAACTCATCTCCTCACAGGCTCTCTCACACATCCCCATCTCTCCATCCTACCCAGGCAGTTTTTCTCCAGGATACTCCAATCTCCCTCCAAGTCTCAGAGTCCCACTCTCACCTCTGCCAGGAAATAATCCCAACCACTGGGTCCCTACGATGCCTACATTTTCTAGTGCCTACTAGCTGCTGATTTTGGTGACTAATTACTTCATATTTCACTTAACTTTTTAATGTCCTTCCACCTAACAATTAGTTACTGAGCACCTGCTACTATGTGCAGAGAGCACTGTGGAGGGCTTTAGGGTACAAAAATAAGACACAGTTCCTGACCTTAGTTCATCTCAATCTGATGGTAGAGAGTCAGTCACAAGCATAGAGCCATATGACAGTACGAAGTGTTCAGGCACAAAAGAACCTTGAATCAAAAATTTAACAACTAACCCAAACTAGAAATTTAAAATTTGAGGTACAGAGCAGAATTACCCAAAACTTTAACAGCTGCAAAAGAAAAGCAACTCTACATCTTAATTATCCCCATTACAAAAATCATTTACCCACTACAGTAAAGGGTGTATGCACAAAAATGAGAATAATCACTGTTTCTCAGTAAGAATATTCTGGGTGTTCAGTTCCTACACTCAATTGCAATCCTAACAACGAGACGTCCATGCATTTACTTTTTGACTACGTACTCATTCCAGTGATCTACAGGCTATGAGTCTCACTGGACCAGAAAGTAAATTTTTGCTTTAAAAAACAGTTTTGTGAGATGGAACCACTAATTTTAGTCTGGAGATAGTCATACAGGCAAATGTATCCCCTCTCATTAGACTGTAAGCTCCTGGGAGACAGTGCCTCTGGTATCTCACACTGCCAACACAGTAGTAAATGTGGAGAAATCCTCTAAGTACCCATGAACTTTTTACTCACCTAGAGCTTACTCAGTATCACTACATTAACTAAGTGCAAACTGCACAGGCCCCTCAGAGTTTTGGGAGAATAGGTCCTGGGCTCCCTGCTCCTTGATTGCCAGGTGGGGTACTCTCACCTTCACAGGAGGCTGGCTACTCTGCTTCACAGCATGATTGAGGTCTTCATGAACTCGGTCCAGAAGCCACAACAGAAACTCCTGGGCATCATGCTGGGCATTTCCACGGTACTGCAGTGCATTCTTTGACACAATACTCTAGATAGGTAAGTAAATTAGCATTAATTAGTTGTAAGCCCTGGCTTTATGATAAACTGTTCATAATCCCAAAGAGGAATGAAAGCTCTTAAAGGTGTTAGAGGACTTTGCAAACAGCAATGCAAAAAAAACAGGTGCTCAGGACTTCCACCAAGATGGAGGCGTAGGTGGAAACACTGTGCCTCCTCACACAACCAAGTTTAAAGACAACAAAGTTTTAGTCACAAAAACGCAGCCAAAACACAGAAAATTGAACTATACGGAAGTCTGACAACAATGAACTGTTCAGCCTGACTGGTAAAAGGGGCGGAGCCAGCAGCAGAGCAGGGTTGGGCAGGAAAGATCCCCCCACCCAGTGTGCAGGCAGCTTTTGGCAGATCCCAGGTGTGGGGTCGCAACAGGCAGACCCAGTGAGGGCACAAGGCAGCAGGCTGACTGCAGTCACACATTCGCATGCAGATAAACCAGAGAAGGAGCGAGCAGTGAGACAGACCACCCAGGCCCCAGCAGCAGGAAGCAGCAGAGGGGACCGCCATTGCTCCTCTCTGACCCCACATAACAGCCTCACAACCCAGGAACTGGGTTGCCCCGCCCTGGTGAACACCTAAGGCTCCACTCCTCATACATAACAGGCACGAACAGACCAAAACATAACTCAAGAAGAACTCAAAGCCCCAGAGCCGATAACTCTAAGTGACCAAGAAATAGCCAACCTATCAGATGCACGGTTCAAAACACTGGTGATCAGGATGCTCACAGAACTGGTTGATTTTAGTCACAAATTAGAAGAACAAATGAAGGCTAAACTAACTGAAATGAAGGGAAATGCACAGGAAACCAACAGTGATGGAAAGGAAACTGGGACCCAAATCAATGGAGTGGACCAGGAAGAGGAAAAAAATGACCAAACAGAAAAGGATGAAGAAACAAGAATTCAAAAAAATGAGGAGAGGCTTAGGAACCTCCAGGACATCTTTAAACGCTCCAACATCCAAATTATAGGGGTAACAGAAGGGGAAGAGAAAGAGCAAGTGGAAAACTTATTTAAACAAATAATAAAGGAGTATTTCCCCAATCTGGCAAAGGAAATAGACTTCCAGGAAATCCAGGAAGCTCAGAGAGTCCCAAAGAAGTTGGACCCAAGAAGGAAGACACCAAGGCACATCATCATTACATTAGCCAAGATAAAAATGAAGGAGAGAATCCTAGAAGCAAAAAAAGATAAGGGGACAGTCACCTAACGAAGGAGTTCCCATCAGACTGTCAGCTGATTTCTCAAAAGAGACCTTACAGGCAAGAAGGGGCTGGAAAGAAGTATTCCAAGTCATGAAATCCAAAGACCTACAACCAAGATTGCTCTATCTAGCAAAACTTTCATTTAGAATGGAAGGACAGATAAAGTGCTTCTCAGATAAGATCAAATTCAAGGAGTTCATCATCACCAAGCCCTTATTATATGAAATGTTAAAGGGACTCACGTAAGGAAAAGAAGATAAAAAAGATGAACAGTGAAAGGACAGCAAACTTACAGTTATTAACAACCACACCTAAAAGAAAAGCAAACTAAGAGGACAGCTAGATCAGTAGCAGAACCATAGAAATGAAGATCACATGGAGGCTTAGCAACAGGGGAGTGGGAGGAGGAAAAGGGGGGAGAAGGTACAGAAATAAGTAGCATAAACAGTAGGTAGAAAATAGATGGGGGGAGGGCAAGAATAGTAGGGGAAAAGAACTTGAGACACGTGGTCATAAACTAAAGGGGGGAATGGTGGGGGAGGGGGAGTGCAGGGTGGAGGGGAATGAAGGGGGTGAAACAGAACAACTGTAATGGCATAATCAATAAAACATATTAAAAAAACAGGTGCTCAATATAAAAACTCAAGAGACCAAGAAGAGGCATTCAAAAATGTGGCAAGAAAATTAGGAGAATGAAGTCCCTAGACTCCACTGAAGAGACTTATGCAGAAAAATGACCAATATTGTTAAAAGCTGAAGAATAATAAAGTCAGTGAAATAATAAAAATTATTCACTGTAATTTTCCAATTAAAATAATGGTAACAGAGGTGAAACAAGGGGAAACATTTTTATTTCCATTATGAAAAAGAACCACCACAACTTGATGTTCGGGCAATTAGATGTCAATAAAACATAAAGATGTTTACAAAGATTCAAATTTAGGAAGAATCAAAGGGACAAAAATAAGAGAGAACTGAGGTATCATTGGCAAAACTTATTAACTGAATGAAGTGAGCAAGGTAGAGGAAGGACCCTGATGACAAACAAGGATGCTCCCTGGATCCATGTCAGAAACAGGCACACAAAAGGACAGGTAGCTGTAGAAGAAAGTCTTCACCATACAACAGAACTTCTCCCAGAGGTCAGATGCCACCCAAATCCAGTCTCTTCTTTCTCAGCCTTCACCTTCCTCAATCTCCCTGTAAATTTTATACTTGATATCTTCCTTAATCTTGAAATGGTTTGGTTTACAGCCTTATATTCTCATTTAGGAGAATCAAAACCAGAGTCATTGGTATGGACAATGGAAGCATGTGAGCTACAAAAGGGAAGATTTCCTAGTAAAGAAAAATGGATTTAAAAAAAAACATCAGAACCAGCACCTGGTTCTGCTACTGATGACATGGCTGACTCAGGATGGAGAGAAACAAGTAACTGGTAACACTCAGGGATGACAACAGGTTTTTAGTGTCTGACTTAGGTGGGTAATGAAGTAAGGAACAGAAGGCTGCAGTGTTAAACATGTTGAGTTTGAGGTACCTACAGGATCCCAAGTAAGGTTAAGTCTGGTGCTCAGGAAATTCAATCAGAGCAGCATACACCTATCATGTGAGCCAGAGGAAGTAAGCCAGGGGACATCTAATAAGGAAAGGAGGCAGCCGAGACAGAATCTTAACACTAGCAGAGAAGGGACAAGTCATGGCAAAGAAGCCCAAGAAGGTAAGAGGAAGCAGCAAAAGGAGACTGAACCTCTGAGGTAATGGGAGCAACAATGTCAGCTCTGCAGAAAAGTCAGTCAGACAGGCATGAGATGGACCTCTGGAATGGTAAATGAAGAGAGCAACTGCCAGTGCAATTTTAGTAACGATGAGGGAGGGTGAAAGAGAAGAAAAGGTAAAGAGACTGAATGCTTACAAGAAGACCACTCTTCAGACCCAAGAAACTCCATTATAAAAGGAAGAAAAAAAGATGCTATGACTACCCAGATGGGGACTTACACAGGAGAGGGACTTACCTGGTGAGGGAAGATGCTAACAGAAAGGAGATAACTGAAGAAATATGATTCTTAGTAAAGGGGGGAGGAGAGATTCAGAAGTCCAGGGACTACTCGCTTTAAAAAGGAGGTGGGAGAGACAGAAGAGGAGGTAAGGATAGTAATGGGTTCAGAGAAGTTACAGACAGGAAGGCAGGGAAATTGTTTTTGTCAGTTTGTTTGGTATTGTTTGTTCTGGGGAGGAAGCATAGGACAAGTGCTGAAAGGAAGTCTTAAGTACAGCAAGAGAAACACAAGTACGGTGGCATACAGCTGGGTACACAAGTTGCCAGAAGCACAACAAGCTTCTGTTCAGGACCCTCTCTCATTTACTTCCAGTGGAAGAGTTTTCAGCATCTGCATTTTAAGAAACAAATTAGCTGAAATCAAATGCTTTACTATGGGTCAAAGTAAATATTTTATGGACAGTGTCCATCAGATTTTAAGGTGGAGACAATATTAAGTTCTTTAACAGGTTTGCATTCAACTTGATTTATGGTTCCTGACACTGTTATTTCAACTCATCCAGCATTTATCCACCAATCACTATGTTCCAGGCTTTTAGTGAGCAGCTCAAACTGCTCTCTAAGATTTTTGCTGGGCCCAATTACGCAGGCCACAGAGACTTCCACAACCCTGTACAACTGAGGCAAAAACTGCTTTGAATCAACCTTGCCCTAAATCACTACCTCACAAACTGAAGGAAAATTTACAGGAGACCTCACTGGACACAGACAAATACAAAGGCTCCTCTTCCTGGCCCTTCACAATAGTGACATCTTCCTGCTGCAGATACCCAGGGGACTACTGATTTTCCTTAAGCCCCTAATAAAACAAATCATAGGATAATCTAATAACCACCCTAACTATGTGTTACAGGAAAAAGAAAATAGTGGGAGTCAAGAAACCACAGGGAAAAGTGAGTTATTTCTACAGAACTCCCTGACCCTTACAGACACAAGGGCCTAATACAGGGTAAATCATAGGTGCTCCTTATATCCAAATTCTCATTAGCAAGACACAAGAGCTAAGCACACGTACATAGCAAGGGCTATATGCAATGTTGTAAAAGTAACTTTAGACACAAAGACTTGGGGGTAGAAATTTATTGCTTGAAATATAGAATGGAAATGGCATATATTTAGTCTAAAAAAACAGTCGTAAAAAGGTTAAGAAAGGATTACTGCATTTCAAGAAATTATAACTAAGGTCCTTTCACTGTTCATATTTATCATCTTCTTTTTCTTAGATAAGTCCCTTTAACATTTCATATAATAAGGGCTTGGTGATGATGAACTCCTTGAGTTTGACCTTATCTGAGAAGCACTTTATCTGTCCTTCCACTCTAAATGAAAGTTTTGCTGGATAGAGCAATCTTGGTTGTAGGTCTTTGGATTTCATGACTTGGAATACTTCTTTCCAGCCCCTTCTTGCCTGTAAGGTCTCTTTATTAACAACCATACCTAAAACAAAAACAGACTAAGAGGACAGCTAGATGAGGAGCAGAACCATAGAAATGAAGATCTCATGGAAGGTTAGCAACAGGGGAGTGGGAGGAGAAGAAGGGGGAAGAAGGTACAGAGAATAAGTAGCATAGATGGTAGGTAGAAAATAGGGAGGAGGGCAAGAATAGTATGGAAAATATAGAATCTAAAGAACTTGAGACACATGGTCATAAACTAAAGGGGGAAGGTGGAGGACAGGTGTGCAGGGTGGAGGGGAATGAAGGGG